GGATGGCTGCAAATAGCAGCCATCCCCTAGTCACGTGACCACAATTTGGGACATTTTTTATAGCCATAAATGGGAGCCAGTTTGCGGAGTGCCTGAAATGCAATCACAGGCCTGCAGGGGGCAGAGCAAGCATTGGAATTTCAAAACTGGGAAGTAAGTACCTTTTTTGGAGGGGGTGGGAGTGTCAATCATAACTTCCAATGGTCACAGTGACTAGTCACAAATTGAGGACTGCTTCAGTACTCCCTACAAAACTCACGCCACCTTTCCAAACCATAAAGTTCTAAAAATTTTGGAGCACGGAAGTTTTCAAAGTTGTGCCTATGGAAAGCAGCCAATGTTCATATTCCTCACCATGCCTTAAAAGAGCTGTACATGAATGCAAATTTCAAGCATGCCAAAACATGCTCTAGTACGAAACACACCTCAGACAGGCATGTTCCTAAATAAATACGCTTATTTCCGATGGTTTATTTAGACCTACCTGGGAAACCTGCAGTTCCCAGTACCTGAAGTTACCCTTTGCTCCCTTTCCAAGCCCCCTCACCAGAGGTGGGTATTCGGCAGATTCTGACCACTTCTGGAGAACCAGAAGAGGACATTTTGAGTGGTTCGGAGAACCGGCAAATACCACCCTTGACTGGAGATTTTACAGGATCTGGCACTCCCCGCCCTTTTTGAATTCAGAATTCTGCTCCATTCCCAGGAGGCTGATGCTTAGAAGATAAATGTGATCGTCACAAAGTGAGAAACATAAAAAACAGGAGGTCAACGTAAGATAAGGTTCCCCATTCATGTTTATTGCCAACTCTTCCTACTGCTAGTTTCAGTTAACATGCAATTAGCGCTGTATTATTAGCCTAGTGTTCTCTCTCCAACAGAGACTGACCGAGAGTCTTTGGCAGCCTCATATCAGTGCCCCTTCCACCTGTTCCTTCCCCTCCTGAACCACAGGCCTACGTACCACGGACACGTTCAAGGATCCCATCCTTCTGATCTCATTGAAATGGCAGAAACCAGGCTGTGCATTACAATATTCAGATACAGTAACTATGCCGGGTCCGGTGGACACTTTGATGTCGACAAGCGCCTTCGCCCAGGCCGATGTGCTGACCAGCCACAGGAAAGCAATGATGACCGTAAGGATGAAGTCCTGGAGAAGGAGGAAAGTTAAGAGGCTTCAGAAGAAAAAAAAATGATCCAAACAGATCAATTCTATCATTCCAAGGACTAACATTTATCATATCATAACTCTGGGGTCCATCAAAAGTTTATGGACCAAGGAATGGTGCAAATTTTCTGCATGTAAAAAATTTGAGCGGGTGGGCCTGCTTGCAACATCTATCACAGACCCTGCCTTGTGTATTTTTGGTCTACAGAAAAGATGTCACACTCACCACAGTTCCTGGAATCCAGCGGCAAGAGAAAAGAAGAAGAAAGGTTTACTGTTATGGTTAGATATTTCTCTGAAGGATGTAGGACCTGTTCTTAGCATCAGAGTTCACTGTTCCATTTCATCCAGCTGCCTAGGCATGGGCTGGGGTGCTACACGCTCACAAAAGGCATAGAGCAATGGACAGAGATGAGAGGAAAGCTACGTTTAAACAAAATTCACCAAGAGTGAGTAAGTGAATCTTAGGGCTTAAAAAAGTAATCGTTTGTTGGGGAACTGCCAGTTATGCTGGAAGGAGGGGTAAAGCAAGGCTCTAGTTTGGAGTCCTTGCGTAGCAATAAACAGCATAAGCCTGACCTCCTCCAACATCCATGAAGCCTTATCTGCTCATTCCCAGTGGAAGGCAAGCAGTCTGGTGAGATTCTTGTAACATAGATAATAGGCAATAAAGTTGCTGACATTAGCTATTTACAAGTGGCTCTGGTTGCTTGAAACGGACACTCTTCTTGCTTTTATTCAAAATAACTGTTTTCCCTATAATATTTATCTTCTAATAGAGGGAAATATATTCATACTGAAGAAATACGTCTGCAAGAAAACAAGCAAGCTCAGAGAGCACCAAGGACCTCTCATGTCAAGCTACAAATATTCTACTCTATTAGTAAAAACAAAACTATGCTCTCAATAAATTAATCTTAGGGATAAGTGGTACTCATAGTTGTTTTCCATCCATTAAATATGCATACCTTCAGCCAGTGCTATAAATAATAGAAAAACAAGGTAAAAAGCCAGTTTATGTTGACTTACAACCATAGGGAGTTTTCCAGCACCTCGATACAAGTGCATGTAACCGAGGTACAATATTAAGGCTGCGATACAATACAGGAACACGAGGACCGCAAAAGTGACGAAGAACTCTGCCGAGGAGGAGAAATCTCCCACCAAGTAGCTGGGCAAATTCCAAGTATTGTTGCATTTCATTCCTGGCTCCAGAGGTCCAAAGGAGATTTTGCTCAACCTGGTGACAAGAAGAAAAAGCTGACACTTAGGTGTTTTTGTCCATGCAGGAATGTGTGCATGTGTGTCTGTGCATACGTGTCATGTCTCAAGTACTGCAATTTACATACTTACATCAGAGGTGCAAAAGTGAGTATACAAGAGCAGGACTTGCAAAGTGATGGCCGTTGTCATAATTTCAACCTAACTTTGATTTGCTGGGAATGTCCACCTTTTCTACCTGGATATGTTCCCACAAAGAGGGAAACTTCTTTGTCTCCAGTAATGTGTCATGCTCCTGGTGGAGGCTGACTCTGAGGGAAAGGAGGAACAGCCGGCAGGGAGTGGAAGTGTGGCTCCGGAGGTTGTGGAAGAGGATGGGGAAGGGCAGAGGCCGGCTGGGCAGTCAGAGGAGAACCCAGGCCCATCCCCTCTCCATCCTAGGACACGCAGGGAGAAGAGGATAAGGGAGAGATGTGCTCTACTCGGGAGGAGAAGGCCTTGATCCTCTTCATGGGCTGCAGCTGTGACAATTGGATAAAAGGATGGACATGCATACGGGCGAGTGCTGGAAACAAAGCATGGAAATATCTCTAATTTATTGTTCCTCTCTGAGTTTGGCACCCTTCCCAGTGTGTGTTCTGGTATCTGTGGATGTCTTCAAGCCCTTATCTTGCCTGGTTTGTGTTGTTTTTTACTCTTTATAATGTATAGGCATTTTTAGTTTAAACGGCATTTCCTCCTTCTTGTAACTGCTCGTGTGGGAGGTTTTTTTTGGAGCTTGGAAGCAAAGTGAAGGAATAAAAGGGGCTTTGTCTGTTTTTGTGACTGTGTTCATTTTGTATCCCACCCTGGGTCATCACACAATGTTTTTGCTGATCCAAGTTTCTCTAAGTGTTTGCAGATCAGGTGTGTTTCTATGCAGAAGATTTTATATTTAAATCTGAGAACACTTGGGCAGGACACAGATAATCCTCAAGTTACAATGGCAATTGGGACCAGGATTGCTGTCCACCCTCATTCAAATCAAAAGTCTCTAGCCACATCTCAGAGAAAAGTAAATTGGTTTATCAGAAGTTGCCATGTTGGCGCATGGCTGGGTGCAGCCGATACTAAATTACATCCTACATTCCCCCCTTGACCCTGGTCTTTCCCCCACCCCCTGGATGTGACTTCTCCAATGGGACACATCCATCTCCAAGAGTCATCCATCATGCTCTCCAATAACCTTCTTCTGCGACAACTTTGGGATGCTGGGATGATTATCTAGGCATTTCAAGAATGCCTTGCTTTCCCCCGCTCCCTTTTTCTGGCAGCTAAAAAGACCTAAGGGGTATCTTTCTAGTTGTCAGGCATAACACTACACAACTGCAGAGAGGTTGGGAGGTCTTATCAAAGTGGCTTGTGTCCTGCTGGCTTCCCCATTGATTTTGCTCATGGGAAGACGGCAGGGAAGGGACGAAAGGCGATCATGCGATTGTCAGGTACTGCAACTGTTGTTTAAGTGCCCAAATCATGGGGATGGTGTGACAGCCAGAACTTTGAAGACCGGTTGCAAGACCCTCTCATTCGGCACAACTCTGAGTGGTCCCTGAACAAGGAGTCGGTAAGTGAGGACTCCCTGCCTAGTACTCAGCCACTTGGGAACAAAACAGATTGGAAGCAATTTTTTTCCTCCCAATAGCAAATGCTTTCCATAGAACCAGACATGAGGAAAAAGCTTGCTAAGAAGTGTTTGAAAATGGATGATGAAAGTAAAACTTCCATCATTTTTTTGGGGGGGGGGATGTGCAACTGAGTGAGAATTATTTCCAAATATTCCGCTGCCACAGGATATTGTAACCATGTGTGTCCTGATTACTGTAATCTCTCCAACAAAAATATTTATTTGCTCATTTATTTGATTCAAGATCCTGCCTTTCCCCCAGGAACTCCAGATGGCTTCACCAACCTCCAATTTCCCCCCAGCAGCAACCACACAAGGCAGATTGGGGAAAAGGGCAGGACTGGCCCAACACCAGCTCTATCACAACGTTACTATCTCTACAAATAACTGTCATCTCCAACAATAACTTTTCTTGGATCACAGGCAGATACACCCAAGAACCACCAGGTGGGTTATAAAAAGTGCCATGCTCTCACCTGAAGGGATAGAAGAAATCCCGGGTCCATGTGATATTTTGGTTATTTTTACAGGTGAGGAATATAGATGTTTTCCCACTGTATCCACCACAGGTAGCAAAGGCAAAAATGGAGAATATCTATGAGAAATTGAAAAGCGGGGAGAAAAGTGACATGTTAATGATGTTTTCCAGAGACAGAGGCAAACACAGTACTGGTCGTCTTCACAAGCACAATCTAGAATTCTTTTTTGCTCTTTAGAACCACCTTCCAAACTTCAGGTCTTTTGAAAGCTTGGTTGAAGACCCATCCTTTGAATCACTTCAACGGAGATCTCTTAAGAACTTCAAGAGACGTGGGTTCACACCTTGTATAGTTTAGCAAACTGATGAAGTTTTCACATGGTTAAGATATAAACTCCAATGGCTGGATTCACCCCATAATTTATGCCTCCCCCCCAAAAAATATATAGTGGTACTTTGGTACTTATTGTTCATTGGTTCCGGGAAGTGTGATGAGTACTAAAAACAATGAGCACCAAACAAATGTTTCCCACAAAGAATAACGTAATGAGTCATAAAGAAGCTAACATCGACAAGTTGTAGCTTGTGTGTTGAGTACCAAACAAATGATGAGTACTGGGACAAACTTTTGTGTCAAAATGTACCAAGGTGCCACCGTATTAAAAATTTAATGCAAAACATTAATGTTTGCAGCATGACAAGGAAAAAAGTAATTTTCAAATTGTGGAAGATGTTATCAAAGCCCTTATCAAACCTAATACAAATTTAGTTTTATTTATGTATCTATTCCCCCCACCCCCTATGATTTTTATAAACAACTCAAGATGGTGAATATATTCCTCCTCCTATTTTCCTCACAACAACCTTGTGAAGTGAGTTGGCTTTGTAAGACATAGAGCATTGGATTCCCTATCACTGCAAAAAGACACACAATTTGTCTTTTAGTCCAATTTATCTCCCATGTTTTCCAGTGCTCTTAAGGACACAGTCAAAACTACATGCCAGTTAAGAAAGACCAAGCTGTTCAGATTGACTGCAAACTATAGTGAAAGAGATGAACATCCAGAAAATAGTCTCCTGTTGACTGAGGCTGTGCAAATCCAGAGAGGTCTTTGAAACATTTTTCAAAGCAATTCTTTTTAAATGGCTAAAAAGCAGCCATGTTTTCTTCTTCGTGAGCTTGGAAGATGACATGGCTGTTTTAATGAGGAAAAGACTTCATGCACTTTTCCTTGGGTTCCAATATAGTACCGTGTTTTCCCGAAAATAAGACCCTATCTTATATTTTTTTCTACCACCAAAAAAGGCGCCAGCTCTTATTTTCGGGGGATGTCATCCACTGACTAACCTCACTTGCACATGTTGCCCCTGGCCTCCTTTTTGCTGTCAGAGGCCTTCAGGAATTTCTTCTGCAGCTGGCAAGGCTTTCCTGAAGGCCTCTGCAACCGATAACAGAGCTCTGGATCGGTCTGTAACTTGGTTATCCAAAGGTAAGAAGTAGGGCAGCTCTACCCTCCCCATTCCCACCCTAGCTTAATTTTTACCCGTCCACTCTGGAGTGGGTGGGATCTTAATTAGGGCTTATTTGGGGGGGGGGCTTATATTGGATGCACATGTAAAAATCAAGCTAGGACTTCCTTTCAGGGTAGGTCGTATTTTCAGGAAAACATGGTACCTTAAAAAAAAAAAAAATCCACATGACCCTCCAGGCTAATTTAAAGCAGGTCGTTTTCATTTTAAATTTGTGAGATTAGACCCAGAAATTCCTGAAACACACATTTTCAATCCTATAAAGAAAAGCCAAGGTTGCTATTTCAACATCTTAGCCTGCTCCCCCCGCTTCCCTAAGTAATGATCATACTTAAAAGCCAGCAACCTGTTGTGCAACATTTTACAACTTGCTTCAGTTATTGCTTAGCACAAAATCTTCCCTCTCCAAAAGGTTGAAGTTTGGAATTAAAACTGAAGGGCAACGAAAAGAACAATGGAAAGTTGAATGAGTCAACCCAGGAACTATTCATGGTCTCCAGTCAGGATTGTCCTACGGATTAAAGGGAGAAGGTAAGAGAAGAATTTTCTCCTCTGGCTCTGTTGATTTCCTTGTGCTGTTGTTACGAACTTCCTCTTTCTGCCACAGGCTTACACAATTATTACCCAATGTGAATAGAAGCGCTGAAATCGAACACAACCAACCACACCTTGGGCTGCTAGTGGAAGGACAAAAGATCCATTTGGATGATAACACGTCAGAAGAGCAAACCTAGAAATCTCCACATATGGAGGCCTAAGGACCCAGCCACGTTTTTGTGAATAGCCCTGAAATACCATTAGAGAAGGGGTGTCAAACAGAAGGCCTGGGGACCGGCTCCAGCCCGCAGGTTACTTAGATCTGGCCTATGGGGCCACCCTGGAAATAGAGAGGGACTGGCCCATGGTGCCTCTGCAAGTGAAAATGGAGCTTCCAAGGGCTGCGCACACCACCCCCTCAGCTCCGTTTCCGCTTACAGAGGGTTGCAGGAGGCCGTCCCAGCTGAAAATGGCATTTGCGAGGGCCTGTGTGGCCCCCTCAAGCTCCATTTTCCCTGACAGGTTGCAGGAGGCTGTCCCAGCCGAAAACGGAGTTTGCGAGGGCTTGCATGGCCCCCTCAAGCTCCATTTTCCCTGACAGGTTGCAGGAGGCCGTCCCAGCCGAAAATGGTGTTTGCGAAAGCTTGCGTGGCCCCCTCAAGCTCCATTTCCGCTTACAGAGGGTTGCAGGAGGCTCTCCCAGCCGAAAATGGACTTTGCAAGGGCCTGCATGGCCCCCTCAAGCTCCATTTTCCCTGACAAGTTGCAGGAGGCTGTCCCAGCTGAAAACGATGTTTGCGAGAGCCTGTGTGGCCCCCTCAAGCTCTGTTTCTGCTTACAGAGGGTTGCAGGAGGCTTTCCCAGCCGAAATTGGTGTTTGCGAGGGCTTGCATGGCCCCCTCGAGCTCCATTTTCCCTGACAGGTTGCAGGACGCCATCCCAGCCAAAAACGGAGCCTGTTTTCGCTGGCAGACTGCTCAGGTGTCACCCTGACACAAGTGACATCATGCTGCCCACCCTAACCCTGGCCCCCGGAGATCCAACACAACTCTGATGCGGCCCTCAATGAAATCGAGTTTGACACCTCTGCATTAGAGGGACTTCTAAATCTACCGTTTCTACAGGTAGTCCTTGACTTATAACAGTTCAATTAGTGACTGTTCAAAGTTACAAACAGCACTGAAAAAAGTGACTTTGGATCGTTTTTTCACACTTACGACCACTGTACCGTCCCCATGGTCACGTGATCCAAATTCACACTCTTGGTCACTGACTTGTACTTATGACGGTTGCAGTGCCCCAGGGTTATGCGATCCCTTTCTGCAATCTTCTTACAAGCGAAGTACGGAAGCCTGATTCACTTAATGACCGTGTGACTAACTTAACAACTGTAGTGATTCACTTAACAACTGTGGCAAGAATGGGCGTAAAATGGAACAAAATTCACTTAACAAATGTTTTGCTTAGCAAAAGAGATTTGGGGCTCAATTGTGGTTGTACGTCAAGGGTTACCTGTATATAAGAACTCACACAAACAAGTATTTCCTGGTTTCATTCTTCCTGAAATCTTTCTCTTGGGAACAAAAAGGTTCAGACCACAGGAGAAAATACAGAACCAATTTGCATCATTTTGCTTCGGCCCCATTTTAAAAATTAATTTTGGCATCCAACTGAAGTGTCATAGACTATTTCCTATCATTATTAATTTCATTTTTTTTTGTAAATTATTCTCTCCTTGGAGTCATCCAGCGTAGCATGCAAAAAGAAAATCATGTTTCTATAAATAAATAAAATAAACAAAATGATCTATCATTTTAAAATAGCCCAATAATTTTTAAAGCAAAGTTCATTTTTAGAATAAGACAAAAGGCAGTCTGGTCCCCTAGTGCAGTATTTTAGGTAAATGACTTTAGCTTCTGTTTAAAAGAAAACAGTATATTTGAAGAAGACAATTAATACTCTTTTATTCCTTCATATTCCCCTTTGGGTTTATTTTCTTTGCCATCACTGTTTCTTTGTCTTGTGATATTTTTGTGGAGTTTTTTTTTTGTATTATTCTCTGTTTTTAAAAATGTTTTAACCATTGTCACTAAGAGTTAGACAGTCTTTCCATTTGTCAAATTATTATTGATCCATAGTTTGCTGGAACTCATCAACCATATGTACAGGTGTACCTCAGCAATATTGTGGGTTTGGTTCCAGACCATTGCAATAAAGCAATATCACAATAAGGCAAGTCACATAATTGTTTTGGTTTCCCATTGCATAAACAAGTTATATTGATATTATCCTGTAATCCATTAAGTGCAAATTAGCATTATGACTAAAAAACCCCGTATGTATCTTAACTGAAATACTTTACTGCTAAAAAATGTTAACCATCCAGAAGTCATAACCTTTTTACTGTTGATAGATCTTGTTTTTTTTTTAAAAAAAGCAGTAAAACAAGGTATGCCAGTAGATAGGGTTGTACATACCACTGTCATGAGCTATGATTTACAAATCAAAATACTTGGGTTCAAAGAACTTGTTAAGGTTGCACTGGATGTTTATGCAATGTGTGAGTCCAGCTTTATATAGCTGAAAATTTAAAGGAGGACAGGAATAATTGCTGCATCTGTATCCATTCCTTCCTTGGGTATGCTTGGGATGCAAGATGAAATCCTGCAGATGTCAACTTTTAGTTCATTAAAATCTTGAAGAATTTGGTTGTTTACCTCTGGGCTGTTCACCATGATGTACAGATCATGGTGGATACTCCCGCCAAATGTTTAGACAACATCAAACCACAGGTAGGCCTTGACTTAAAACGAATTTATTTAGGGACTTTCTAAAATTATAACAGCACTGAAAAATGTGATTTACAACCAGTCCTCATACTTACGACCATTGCAGCTTTCCGTATGGTCATGTGATCAAAATTTGGGAGCTTGGCAACCGGTATGTATTTACAATGATTGCAATGACAGTCAAACGCAGGAAATCAGGAAATCCAGGCAGTTCAAATGAATGTAAAGGTTTCTTGCATGTGTACGTTTTCTATAAGAATC